TTAACAATTAGCTTCAGACATACAAAATAAAAGATTTATACTTAGCCTGTAAAAAAATAAAAAACAATGTTTATTATCATGATACAGGTATAATTAAATAAGAATAAGATAAGTACAATCTGCTTTCCTTCTGCAGAATGTCATAAATGGATGAATTTTTAAATGTTATTTTAATTACATTAAGAAGCCTTGAAGTGTTAATATGTCCAAGCTAATATTGTATTCTAAAACTATATTCATATATATGCCCTTGTACTGTTTATGGATTACCCTGAACATGAACTCTTTACTGTAACTTATACGATGATTAATCGTGTTATTGACCTCTTGAGTTCAAGATCATTTTAAAAGTTTGATCAGTACTATATCGATGTGGCCTTTGTCAGTAATTCAGATCACTGAGGTACTAGTATCCATGTGGCCTTTGTCAGGAATTCAGATCACTGAAGTACTAGTATCGGTTTTCATTATACTATTAATACAATGTAGTATTTTTATGCATGCATTAATCATGTAAATAAATTAACCGGAAATAATTCAAATATAGTATGCAGGAATTGAAAAATCAATGACATATTTTTTGCCGAGATATTTTTTATTTTTAACACAGCAAAAAGGAGTTCCTCGGTATGGATTGCAGGACGGGAAAGACCAGACTTCCACATAGACACTTAAATTGGGAATTGGACCAATCTTTTTGGTGTTTATGATTCAATTTATTTCCCCCTTATCTTGTGTGTTGTTTCTCATACCCATATGTTTTTTTTAATCTTACTATATATAACAGTTGTCTGTACATGTTGTCCATCTACTCAACCGATGTAGTTTTTATTTAGGAATTTAGGAAAATTAATAAAAAAAAAAAAACACATGCCAAACAAGAAGCACCTTAATATGGTTTAATTACCCTCAGTATAGGTGTGGTTATTTTTAATATTTTTAGTGTTTATGCAAACTATAGATCGGTTACCAGGAGTCGCAAGGAATTTTTAATTTACAAAGATATTGTCCTGGAGCATCACTGTAGAGACATTATATGTCGAAATGCGAATATAGTAGAGTTAATGGGACCGTTGAATGTTTTTAGGTCTCATTAACCCTTCTAATTAAATGCATACCGTTGAAATATAACGTAATCAAAGCTCTTAATCCCGACACCGATGCTTAAATTATCATTAGTATTACTCTAATAGAAATCAAATCTCATTTGTAGACTAATAAGTAAAGAAGTAACTATTGTGAAATATACGTACTGTCCCTCTACTTGAGTAGATGGACAACATGTACAGACAACTGTTATATATAGTAAGATTGTATGGGTATGAGAAACAACACATAAGATAAGGGGAAAATAAATTGAATCATAAACACCAAAAAGATTGGTCCAATTCCCAATTTAAGTGTCTATGTGGAAGCCTGGTCTTTCCCGTCCTGCAATCCGTACCGAGGAACTCCTTTTTGCTGTGTTAAAAATAAAAATATCTCGGCAATTTACACCGTCAAGTCCAACCGTTCGTGATCTGTTGTAAGGCAACATTTTTTATCCAGCATACCCTCTTTTACAAGTATACAAATTACGGGTACTTCGAGAAAGACTCACATAATGATACCCCGCCCCTTACAAAGTCCACGATTTGCTACTGGAACCCCGGGCCAAAAAATATTTTGGAATTAGAAAACAAAATTAAAATGCAGAATGCCATTATATGGTAAAGATTCTAAGAAACTTTCATTAGATTATGATCAGGGGTTTAGGAGGAATAGTAGTGTGCAGATTCACAAATCTGTCAATCGAGCAGTTGCGAAAACAAAAGTGGGCGGACGAGGAAACGAACGACAAGACAGACAGACCTACTCCGCTATCACAATATACCACCCGCTGTAGAAAGTTGGGGTTTAATAGGTATGAATTCCAATTAAACAAATAACCACCAGAGGCCAAAATGGACGAGGGTGTAATCATCTAAAGGTGACCGTCCAAAAAAGGAAATTAACAATTGGGAACGAAAAATCGGTTTTTTTCGTAATTTTTTATATTAATTTCCCATGTGAAACCAAAGATTTTTCTATTTGTAACCTTGGTGAAACTGATATATCAAACTAAAAAAGGACATTTATTGCTGGTAATATGAGATTTATTTAAAGTCATGCAGTTCCCTTGGGAAAATTTCAGTGAAACTAGTTAAAAATGACTGAAAGATTAGTTGTAGAACATTTACTCGTCACCGTGATGAAACGATATTCGACTAGTTTTTCGTGTAGTTTTACTTAGTTCATCAGCAATCAAAACTGGGGTTCAGCGTTATTGTGAAAAAACCTTTAGTCCATATAGGGGTGGCGTGAATCAAATGGTATACTAAAATTATCAACAGATCATCTTTTGTAGTACTTACAACCAAAGTCTCCCCCAGCATGCAATAGTATACAAACAGTTGACTTCTCTACTCTTTACACTAGTATACCTCATCTATCTGTAACAATAAGAATGAATATGCCGGATTTTCAGTAGATAAGTTATGATTATCACATGCTTCCGTTTCTAGTCATGATTTATTTGATGAGACTAACTGCTCACAAGGCAGCTAATGCATTTACATAGGGTTCCAAATGTATTAATTTTAAGTCCCTTCGAATGTTTTACAGACGCCGTTATGATTTGGTTGACGTTGTGGGATATTTTTGTCGTCGATGACCACTGATATGCTCTACGAGGAATAACTGCGATGTCGTAATCTATTTCTCAATTGGGAGACAACCGAATGGGACTTATTGCCGGATTTCACTTTAATGTTCAACACGAAGGGTGTCACTTGTGCGGCAGGGACTTCTTATATTTTTGGAGCATCAGAGTCAACCCTGTTTTTTTTTGTTCGATTCGTGTTTCCCAACATCTGGATTTTTTTTTATAATGTTTTATTTTTGTTTGTCTTTATGTCGTTTTAATTTTTGGCCATGGTGTTTATTGGTTTTCGGTAGCCACTTGGTATTTACCCTCTCCCTCTATCTCTCTTTTATGTAGCTAATACAAAATAGTGACCCAAGTCCTTCAAATGTTATGAAGAGACCTCAAGTATAGAGATGTGGAAATTATATGATTGTTTTATATTTGAATCTCTGTGGAGCGCACAACCTTGGATGTACATGAATTTATAATTTCATTCTTGCGAAATTCCGTCTAGTATTTACGTAATACCACTACTACATCGCTGGCTACTTTGTCGGTCGGTACGAACGCAAAACGCATGGCGAGTTGGTGAAGTTTGTTTCTAATCCTAGAAATGGGCGTGTCATATTACACACATTTTTTATCATAGGATGGAAGTGGCAGTCCAAATGTCCCCTTTTTTACTCCCTGCCTCTTGGATTTATTGTTAGTTTATTCTCGTTCGGAATACCAGCGGCCGTAAAGTAACAACAATCATGAATATATCGTTAAATGCTATCATCTTATTTGTGTTCGTAGTATAACCACTATAGAACGTACTACAGGACAAAAATTTAGCCTCAATGCAGGTTATGTATACACAAAGGAGGATTTAGGGAGGGGCAGGGCCCCGGTCCAATTTTGACCCTACACATATGGTTAATGCATAGACTTCTTACATGTCCAACGCAAAACATTGCATAGTCTCCCCTGTTTTTTTTTTAAATCCTGGATCCGCATCTGATAGTCATAAACACAGGTTTTGTTTTCTAGGACTATAATTGTCAGTTTTCCTGTCGAAGGTCGGTGCTTTTCTCCGGGATCGCCGGCTGTACCATACGGTTACGGGAATTGACCATGTGCATTGTTATGTAAAGATTTAACATACAAATGAGAGATTTTTGGCACCATGAAGCCATGCGATCAGTTAAAAAACCGCTATGACAGCCGGCCTGATTTGATCAATGTTGGCAATATCAAAATTTAACAATATTATTGTAATTAATGTTGAAATTATAAAGGTATATTATCATTGTGTATTGAGTTTTTGGGGTTACTTAATTCATCTAGTGCAATCCAGTAATCTCCATGGATATCCAAATATTTACCACTGGACGTTCATCAACCTACAATCAATCAATCAATATTCACGATAGGTTTCTATACGGCATTCAGGTGTTGATTGAATAATTAAACCAAAGAAGGCAATCGTGTGGTACACGAAGCGTTACTAAACGAACTTGTAAAGAATAGATTAACTAACAAAAGTAAATTATAGTCAATTATCAGTCAAGTGGTTATGTTTGTAGTCTTTCTATACGACTACTAGCAAGACTTGTCACACTAACTATAGAACGACTGTAAATTCCAAGTTGTTCTAAAACATATATATATATACATGTATTAAATAGTTATAGAAAATACAAGACAAATAGAAACTGAACAAAACATTACATTACATTAGATAAATGGGGGTCAATTCACCTAGCGCCTCTGTGACTTAGACCAATCGGCCACCGAAGCCCCTAGCTGCTGTAAAATGAGTTTATAGCTTATTAAAAGAAACCATTTCAGGACATTTTTTATATATATTCAAACTAATTAACTGCATGATTGTTTGTCCTGTGACTATATAGGCTATTATGATCTTTTATACAGGGATGGTGCAAATATGATCAAAACAGACTATGAAGGGAACTTAATAACCGTTGCAACCCATTTTTTTTACAACCATACAAAATGATAGGATTTATGGTGTGTTAAAAAATATAACGATAATAACTGGACCATAAAGGATTTCCCCTCAGTCTACATTGAATTTAACAGTATTGCCTTTAAAGTCAAACCAATGTACTTGTAATATTTAACAGATTCTATGATATTTTGAACAAAATTTCTGCAAATAAGACAAGGTGTGTTAAAAATAATCACTTTTCATCTTTTGTGTCAACAGAATAATTCAATAATAAACATAATCCCATGTGGCACCTCTCTGTGTTGGGAGCCAGCTGATTCCACTAAACCAATGAAATTACAGTATAATGACATGACCTTGAATCATAAATATCATGTGTAAAAATCAATGCTATCACAACCGGAACCATACATAATTTTCATAATTGATAAACAGCTTTATGTGGTTGAATCGTGTTCAATGACGCAATATTGATAACAATATTAATGTGTGCTTGCACAGGATTTTATTTTGACAAACACGGTGTTGATCTTTTTATAAATTTTACAGGTAAATTTCGAACTGTCACCCCTCTATATAAACTCGTCCGAGAAGGAAGTGATCATCACCTGTGAGACTGTCAAACACAAAACAACGTGAGTTGTCAGTGATTCTAGAAAGAATAATAACATTTGGATATAAAGTGGAAATTCAGCAAAGTTTTAACCATGCAAAACGATATGGATAAATCATCTGATGGGAAAAGTTCCCTTTTGGATTCTTTGAAGAAATTTGTGGGCGCGGTTGAGGCGATGAACGAAACTGTGATGATTCCAAGTAGACTCAAAGACATGGAGATTTCAGCCTCCTCCAAACCAGTAATCTCAGAAAATAACAATAATGAAACTTGTTCTTCTTTGCCAGATATCGAACCAGGAACAAGCATGTACAGTTTTTACAAAGTGCTAAATAAACTTGAGAAGGAGATAGTTTCTGGACAATCTACAGAGGTTGATGATGCAGATTCCACCGACAGCAGTGACGATAATTCTGAAAATTCCGACGATTCTGCAAATATATCAGCAACTAATTTCAAATATCATTTACGGGGACTTTTCAATTCTTTGAATCAAATGACAGCTACTGCCAAAGTTCTAACGGACACGTATGAAACTGAAGTAGGACAGTGTACGAGGCATGCTCATTTTTCATCGTTCGCAGTTTAAAGTAGTGGTAACTTGTATGTGAAACACCGCATGTGGAACAAACAGCAGTCTGAGGGTAAATACTGTCATGAATGCTGATGAAATATTGAAAGGAGTAACGGTACTTGAACAGATCGCTTTGCCAGTTTCATAATTATTAAGTGCAATTTCTGTATGTTTTTTGTTAACATTTATTAAAACTTTCGCACCATGAAACTCTCCTTACTTCGGGCGTGACTAAGTGCAAGTGTTATTGAAGTCGTTGCCACAATACAGTAGGCATTTAAGTTGTGATTCAATATTTTTAATACGACATGCTTGGTAAATCACACTTTATTGATGTGTTCACATATATTATTTATTTAATGTTATCTATGTTATATGCTTTCAGTTTCTTTTGAATATAAAATTATAAATTTTTATTTTTTTTTTTGTTGGGTTTTCGATCGTGCAGTATGTACACATGTACAAATATAGTTAAATCTGTTATAATTGCGGTTCAAACGATAATTCCATAAATAATCACACCCAGAGTTTTTATTGGTACTAAGGTCTATGTAATACGAGGAAATACAAACTTTTCTATTTTGCCAGGGAAAAAAATAATCATGGATACCAGGTTCAAAATTTTGTACGCCAGACGCGCGTTTCGTCCACAAAAACATCTTCAGTAACGCTCGAAACAAAAGATATAGCATCCCGGCTTCTCATAGGTCGTCTTTATTTTTGCTCATTTCAAGGTTAAAATGAGCAAAAATAAACATTTAACTGATTATTGTTCTATTCTTTATTATAGAAAAGGGGGGGGGGGGGGTGATGTTTTTCGGTCTGTATGTCTGTCCATCTCATATCGGGTTAAAGTTTTGGTTTAAGATAAGTTACCAGGAATTTGTGCTCTCATCAACTTGAAACTTAATACCATGTTCATTATATGGTGTGAAGATTTTACGGCAAGACATGCCAAATTAGGATTTTGTCCCTAAGTAACATAGACATGTTACAGTGCAAGCGATACATGGTATCATTTGGACACATACAGTATTCTTTTTAGGTCAACTGACCTCCAATGGGCCAAGTGAGCTTTTCTCAACACTAGACGTCCGTCGTCATCCGTTAACTTTTACAAAAATCTTCTGTGAAAGAACCGGGTCAAATGTAACCAAACTTGGCCACAATTATCTTTGGGGTTTCTAGTTGTAACTAATGTGTCCGATGATCACGCCTGCTAATCAACATGGCCGACGTGGCTATAATTAGAACATATAAGGGATTAAAGGCAAGTTTTGTCTATCATCTTGAAAACTGAATTAGAGAAAATCTGACCGGCAGAAATGTTCACAATTTTGAGATTTACCTACTGTTTATTTACATCAAAAATGTCAGACCACTTCTTGTAGGAATTATTGCCTTCAAAGGACACATTTTACAAATTTTGTTCTCTTTTTTGCCTATTATCTTAAAAACTGTTATAGACGGAGATGAACTTTGATAGCAAAAATGATCAGCAAGACGAGATATACAAATGATTCAAATTATTCGGAAATCGTCAACGACTGCTTATTGTAGTTATTGGTCGTTAATGACGAATTTTACCAATTTATTGCGTTTTGCCTAACATCTAAAAAACTATAATAGATACGTTAGATAGAAACTTTAAAATCTAAAATGATCAGCAAGACGTCAACATATAAGTCAACATGGCCCAAACCGTAAGTCTAGTTTATAAGCTCAAGGTTAAAGTCAGAATTAAACATTATTTATGTCCACGCACTCCGAAAAAAATAAAAGTAGTCCAAAGAACAAAGACAGACAACAATGAACAGGACAAGATATATAGACGAACAAAGAACAACGAAATGCACATGATCCAGATACATGTACCTCGACTGGTACAGACTGTAGCCGTAAATTTGGTGGGATCAAACCATTTTCCGTGCGCACTAATCTTGCAATTTATCGGCTATCTAGAAGTAAAACACAATAGTACAGTAATACGACTAAATTAAACAAAGAAATAAAGGACGTCACATCATTTGGAAAGCAGGGTTTAAATGTGCTTGCTACTATAGATGCAGAAAGTTAGGTACATGTAGCTATTGGTTGAATACCGCCGCTTAAGTAAACAAAAAAAAAGAAAAAAAGAAAAGATACCAAGTACAAGAATGGAAGAAATAAAAACAGATTGGATAACAAACCTGGCAAATAAAAAGTTAGATCCTGAGTAAACGATTTTCAACTTCCATTGCAAATTTATGATTTTGATTCGTTACAATCAAACTTGATGGAATTATTACTGTTTGCATCTTCCACCTTGCACCATGTGGTCAACCTCATTAAAGGTAAGTATTTGGCATATCCAATAAACATTGTTTAGAGTTAATGTGTATGCTATATGGAATATTGTTGTCAGGGGAAAATGTAGATGGTATACGTACTCGCATGAGTCTCTACAGCCTTTTTTCCAAGTTTTGCTATTATAGGTTCAGTCATCGTTCTCGTTTCTATATTTTGATTAGTATACTTGAAATTTACCAAAATAAGCGAAAATTGTAGTTTTGAGCTATACTTACCTTTAGTCAATTACGTATAAAGGGTCATATGCTTAGAATACCCCCCCCCCCCCCCCAAAAAAAAAGTGAGGCTGTGATACTATGAATTCTAGGAAATATTGCATAGAAATCGTTTTGAAAATCGTCTTTGTGTGAAAAAAAGAAATTTGAACCTTTTTGTTTCACCAAAAGTGACCTAATAATACATTACAATTATATAGCACTGAAATATTGCATATGTTTTATGCATGCGAGTATACAAAAATGTAATGCGTCATTATGACATATCTGGTTAAAAAATGTACATGCACGAACATGCAGTTTTGTCATAGATTGCAGCTAATCTGTCTGGTTTTAAATCATATCAAATTAAACCATTTCGCTGCTTGCTCGCCCACTCGTCTGAATCAGTTTATGTGGGATGGCGGAAAACGGTGAACAGGCACAGTGACTCGGTAAGCCGGCAGATTATAATTTTGTAAATCAATGTTTTCAATTTGTTTTCGTATTGCCTGTCTTTTTATATTACATTATTAACTTAAGGTATATATTCATTGTTGGCTAGGATTTTGCAGTATACGGATATGGAAAGTAAACTGTACATTGATAGAAAACAAAGAAATACTGATGCCAATGTTAAATACGTTAATAATGTAATATAAATTGACAGGAAATACGAAATCAATTTTGAAAAACATTGCAGTTATTCGTGAATGAATAAACATATCATATTTATGGTGAACGGATTAGACCATTTGTCGTTTTTGTCTTTTCGCCTTTCATATTCTACAGGGTGAAAACACGAATTCGAAAACGCGAAATTGAAAATGCGAAAACTTCTCGTTTTCGCCCTATACAATATAAAAGGCTAAAACTCGAAATGGTCTTATCCGGCCACCATAATATTACGTGTATACTCATAAATTGTAAGTTGACTTCCTTCAGAGCTTGGTAAATAAAAGGGCAACCTGGGTGCCAGATAAATTTAATATATTACTACTGATTATTTTCCCTATAACGAATATAGAAATAGGCAAATGGTGTATAATTGCCAATGAGACAACTTGCATGCTTGCAATCTTGTCAACACAGAAATCCATAAAGACCAAATGACATCATTGTAAGTTTTACGTTATTTTGTTCTAGATATACCCTGACCGATTGACCTCACTTTCATGGTTCATTGTTTTTTTTCTCTTGTGATTAGGTAATTATTTCAGTTACTCTAAAAAAAAGGGGGGGATCTGAGGGAAGAGGTTAAATCATTATTTAATGACACTTGACCTTGACCTCGTTTTTATGGTTCGTTTTCGCGATTAAGGTCAATTTTCAGTTCACTGAATTAAGTACTACATGTAGTTATAAATAATTACAGCCTATTATTATTTATTACTACATGTAGTACTTAATTTATAGGTCAACTATATAAGTTGTATGATGATTGTAACATTTTCTCTCTTACAAGAGTTGCATCATTGTGACCTTATTTTCGTGTATAATGGATTCACATCGATTTCAGTGATTCAATCAATTCTACAGCATCTGTTTGCAATGTCCCTTGTTAGTTAACTTTCAGTAAACAGACCAGTCATAACCCGTCATGAAAACGAGATTTATCTTGCTTGTACAGTCTTGTTTTTGATTCGCACTTAAATGTGTATTTATTTACTTGAACATTTCATTTTTATTTAACTCATTTTATGGTTACCGTATTTCACACGTGTATATATAATTATGTACATACAAATGTATAAGTATATAAACAAGCAGTTTATGGTCCTATTACATAACTGACTATGTCATCGCCATCATGGATATATGTTGGTTTGCTAATCGAGATCACTTAATTAATTGGAACACTAAATATGATTTTTTTCTCGTTATAAAACCATAAGTATTTACACCAACTGTATACTAATTAATGTTTTCATTGTTTATGTGTTTTTAATTGTTTGCAGTTTAATTGTTATGATGCCAAAGGCTAACTAAAATAGTAAACGTCCACTAGTGTAGTGCCTATCAGACATGTATGATGAATTACATACCAGATAAAAGACACAAACAGTAACTTACATCACTAACATGTTATATATGTACATGTAGATAGAGCAGTGTCTTCTGTTATTTAACCTTGTGGTCTGTTCAAACATGAGATCCTTTACTTGGTGTTCTGAAAATCGTAAACGTAGTTCATTGGCAAATAAAGACATCCCTTGCTGCACATTACTGAACTTGGAAACGAATGTGTGATTGAGTTTTAAATATAAAATTTATTTTCTTATGGTGCATGATATATTATAATTTGATGTCTTTAGTTGTAATTTCTATTAAAGCTATAATCTTCAGAGATTTTGTAAAATCACTAGCAGTTTAAGTAATTATGTAAAATCCCTGAAATTGTAAGGAATTTTATAAAATCATATAACTGAAATAATGGCTATGGACTTTGTAAAATCCTATATATAGCCATATAAACAAATGTCACAAATGTATTGGAGATGTATTTTTGTCTAATAAGAATAACTTGTTTGAACTATTTTTGTCGAGCCTGCGACTTTTGTCGCAGAAAGCTCGACATAGGGATAGTGATCCGGCGGCGGCGGCGGCGTTAGCTAACTTCTTAAAAGCTTTATATTTTAGAAGGTGGAAGATCTGGATGCTTCATACTTTGTATATAGATGCCTTATGTTATGAAAATCAGGTCAAGGTCAGATGACACCTGCCAGTTGGACATGTACACCTTACAGTCCTTCCATACACCGAATATGCTAGACCTATTGCTTCTAGTATCTGAGATATGGACTTGACCACCAAAACTTAACCTTGTTCACTGATCCATGAAACGAGGTCGACGTCAAGTGAAAACTGTCTGACAGACATGAGGACTTTGCAAGGTATACACATACCAAATATAGTTATCCTATTACTCATAATAAGAGAGAAATTAACATTACAAAAAATCTTAACTTTTTTTCAAGTAGTCACTGAACCATGAAAATGAGGTCAAGGACAATGGATTGTCCTTGACCTCATTTTCATGGTTCAGTGACTACTTGAAAAAAAATTAAGATTTTTTGTAATGTTAATTTCTCTCTTATTATGAGTAATAGGATAACTATATTTGGTATGTGTATACCTTGCAAAGTCCTCATGTCTGTCAGACAGTTTTCACTTGACGTCGACCTCGTTTCATGGATCAGTGAACAAGGTTAAGTTTTGGTGGTCAAGTCCATATCTCAGATACTAGAAGCAATAGGTCTAGCATATTCGGTGTATGGAAGGACTGTAAGGTGTACATGTCCAACTGGCAGGTGTCATCTGACCTTGACCTGATTTTCATGGTTCAGTGGTTATAGTTAAGTTTTTGTGTTTTGGTCTGTTTTTCTTATACTGTATGCAATAGGTCTACTATATTTGTAGTATGGAAGGATTGCAAGCTGTACATGTCTGCCTGGCATGGTTCATCTGACCTGGACCTCATTTTCATGGTTCATTGGTCAATGTTTAGTTTTCTTGGTTAAGTCTGTATCTTAGAAACTATAAACAATAGGTCAACTATATTTAGTGTATTGAATGATTGTAAGGTGTACATGTATTTCTGCTTGGTTTATATGACCTTGATTTCATTTTCTTGGATCATGTCAAGTGTATGTGATAGTTGTAGTAAAGCTTTATATTTAGGACTATCAACATAATATCAATGATTAGTAAAGAAGGCGAGACATTTCAGCGTGTGCACTCTTGTTATGAACAGATATCATTCACCGGTTAAAATTGAGATACAGTGATTTTAAAAAGGCCGAATGGGATAACTATTTTACATCCCAGCTGTTCTAGATTACATAAAAAACCATTTACGCTTCATAACATCTAGTTTTAGAACGCCACACAATCATTATAATATACTTTATATATTACTATATAGTATATACCCTTTATGAGCCCCGGACACAATGTTTAAATATGCTAAATTAAGTGAGTTTTCATTCAGTCGTCCTGGTGTAGGGGTATGAATCGTGGGATATATGCTAAAGGTCTTGAGTTCGATTCCCAGCATATACACTGGATTTTTTCCACATAAATTTTGATAGTTAGTCTTTTCTGTATGTTACAGAACAAAGGAAAGCATGCAGAACAAAGAAACGCAAGCTAGGGTGATCTGGTAGTGGTGATCCGGCTCAGATTACCCCTGGTAGAACAAAGGAGCTGGGATGTAATTACAGTTGCACACATTACAAATTACCGCTAATGTTTTACATGATATAGTTTGGATGACGTCTATGCTGATACACAATTACCCTGCACCTATTGGCCCAAGTTCGCCACTTTTGTTTCAAGAACAACCATATTTTACACGATCTAATAAGCACAGTCAGACACAAATGACAGATAGTTCACTGCTTGACAAAAAGATAACATTCAGAAATTTATAAAACATCACCACGTTGCAGACATGTACATAGGGGATTAAAAAAGAGGGGTACTCACTCGGCACCGTGCGTGTTCCTTCTTAAATGGTTGAACATTTTTTTGCACTGCCTGATTTGGATCGCTACACCCCTAACCTCAAACCATAGATCCCCACCTCGACGTTTATTATTCAGGGACTTTTGGAATCCACTTTATGATAGGTGACTCGGACGAACTTGAAAAAATATAAATACGAAGCATGTTTTCAAACGCAAATTGAGGCATTTCTAATTGATATTTTCATAAACTTTGATGAAGTATCTTTTAATATGCACCAAAGACGAACACAAAAATAATATTAAACAAGCATTCTGAGAGTATTGCATGGCAATAATAGTCCCCTACCGGTTAAAATTCATTGTACTGGAACAAAATGCTAACTTGATCTATAACTTGTCATGGAGTAAACTATATAATAATTTTATCAAATCAATATATTCGAGCATGACGAATAAAAGTGTGGAAAACTGATTATTAGCATGAATTTTCTAAGTCCATGGACCATAACTCTGAAAAATAATCATCCGATCGGAACAAAATTTGAACTTGATCTGTAACATTTCATGGTCAAACTATTTACCAAAAATCAAAACAATATCTTCAAGGTCCTTCAAGCATAACAAAAAAAAGTGCGGAAAACTGATTATTTGCATGAATTTTCTAAGTCCAAGGACCATTACTCTGCACAAAATCATCAAACCAGAACAAAATTCAAACTCGATCTGTAACTTGTCATGGTCAAACTATATACCAAATATCAAATCAATATCTTTAAGCATGACGAAAAATAGTGCGGAAAACTGATTACTTGCGTGAATTTTCGAAGTCCAAGGGCCATAACTCTGCACAAAATCGTCAGACCGAAAAACCTTCAAACTCGATCTGTAACTGGTCATGGTCAAAGTATATACCAAATATCAAATCAATATCTTCAAGCACAAAGAAAAAAGTGTGGAAAACTGATTTGCCGGACTGACGGATGGCCAGACAGACAGACAGTCGGACGGAGTGCAAACCTATAGTCCCCTTCGACTTCGTTGGTAGGGGACTAATTAAATTTCTATTCCTTTATTTTAACAGAAGGTCTCAGAGGCGGATTTAGGGGGCAGGGGGCCCTGGCCCCCTTATGCAGCTTCATCTATATTGCTAAACGAAAAGAGTTGAAATTGGGTGTCGCGTTTTCTTCTTTCACATAAAATCCACGAATATTGTTTTATACCACAAAGGGGTAATGACCAGCGTAGTTTATTGTGTGTTCATTTCAAGATCTTTTGGGGGGTATTTGGGGGTTAAAATCGGAAAAAAGCCAGTTCGGATCGACCGTCCTTCACGACGTTCGGCTCTGAAATTTACGTGCCGTCATCATTTCCGTCATTGCACATCTGCCCGGCAAAATTAAATTTTATTTCGTAGCAGATACGGTAAATATTGACGCTCTCAGCAATTTAACAACAGATTTTTACACGTCAAGAGCTTTTCCTTCCAGGGAACCGAATCAATTCAACATGAAAAGGGTGGGGGGATTACTTCAGTTTTTGGTTAAAAATGGGTACCGAAGTGCGGCTGGAATGTGACCCACCCCTATTCATATATTAATGCATAAAATTTTCAGCCCGCTCATATATGGGGGTGGTTCTGAGCACGGAAACTCCAGAAATCAGGTGCGGGTCCAGGATTTAATGTTGGGGGGGGGGGGGGGGGGTTGCAAAAAATATTGTTCTGCGGAACGGAGCATGTTGCGAAATCTTTTTGGGTAAATTAGCAAAAATTTACGTGCCGTCATCATTTCCGCTTTGTCTGCAAGTACTATGGTCTGCTCAGCAAAAAGTATACCCTAAAGGGTGGGGGGATTACTTCGCCGTTGATATCGCCTTACACCAAAACTATATATCTTCAAATAATGAACCAAAGTATATTTCGCGGGTATTTTCTAGTATATGATAAATGCATAGACTTTTTACAAGGATCGCTCCAAACGCTGGCTTACCTGCCCCCTCAGCCTTTTCAAAATCCTGAATCCGCACCTGGGTTTGTCATTGGCGTAGCTTACGTTGAGGCAACGGTTGCCTCGGTAAAAAAAAATGAAAAAAAATAAAATAAAAACACTTTTCTTTATAATCTTTTAAACAATTTTCTAAAAAAGCCGCAGACTCGCTACTAAACGATACTATATACCAACTTGTATCGTCTTGTTGCCGTTTTTGATTCATACCCTTTGCGAGTTCAAGACTAATGGAAACATTTCCCTCCTTTAATTGGAAATCCCAATCCTTTAGTTTTTAGTAATCTAAAAGTCAAAATAATCGACACAATTGAAGCCTACCCTAAGCAAAATCAGTAGAATAGATGATGATCCAACACAAGAGCCTTCCCCGATCGAATCATTGACCATTCAGGTAAATTATTAAATTTTGTGTGAGAATAATTTCTAGTATATGAGGTTGGGTGAGGTTTACCGAATACAGAAACATGCCCTGACATAAATTTAAACTTATAAGAATAGAGATTTTTTAAACATGGTTCTTAAATATAAAAGAAATGAAAATCAAATCATGGACAAAAAGAATTAAAAATAGATATTTGAAGACCCCCATTCAAACCCTCATTTATAAACGGTAACGTCTAAAATTGAAATATCGTTGTGTGTTGACATTTTCCATAGCAGGGAATTTTAAATATTCGAAGGAGTCATTAATTCCAGCGACATATATAGCATATGTCTGTTAGTTCATACATATATCAGTTTCAATATAAAATTTTCAACCAAATACTGTTTTCATTTATTATGAAGACTTCAGAAAAAACATAAATGTTTCCGTTAGTACTTCACCGGTTGTCACTTTCACAATGGGAAAAAGTTCAAAACCATGTAAGGATCATGTAAGAATTTGAAGACCTTCCAAGAAATATCAGGGCAAAAAACAACCAATAAAATTGCCTTGGTGCACTTTACATGAGCATGTCTTTATTTCCTAGTTTATAAAGAAATGGTGCTAGCGGTATGTTTGGTAATGTTTCTGGTATTAAAACCCACATACATCAAATCCAACTAAGAGCATATTATCAGCATTGCAGAGCGCACGTTTTGAATCTTGTTGTTGCGTCCACAGCGCTAGCTGAGATCCTGAATTTGTTTGATTCTGTAAGTCAGCTGACATTGTTACTTGGTGGATTCACAGCTGTATTGTTGACTTGCTGTGTCATTAAAGTATACCCCATACCCATCTCCTTTTATTCGTAAAGAATTAAGATCTGGGAAGTTCACTGAAAAGATTCAATTTGAAAAAGTGGTAAATGTTTTTGAGAACATTTATGTATTCATCCGAACATTGAAAATGTATAGGTACCAGTAATCAACTAATAAATGTGAAGTATAACTTAGTGTAAGGCATATTAACATTGTTATGATGAAGTAAAATAAAACAACTGCTATAATATTTAATAGATTCTTCTTGTTCAAATTGCAAAACCTCAACAGCTTCTCGGGGGGTGGGGGGGGGGGGGGCACTTTCCGCCCAGACCACTTGCCTCGGTAATAACAGTAGGCAAGCTACGCCACTGTCTGTCGGTGTGATGGGTTTGTGATCTTCTAGGCTGTGTGAAGTCATATGTAAGATATCAGTAGTTTGTCTTTCTGAAACGGTTCATTTTTTAGTGTTTGGAATAGAAACCTGCAAAATAACGATTTACTATACATGCATGATAGACCATTACATGAAAAAGAGATTTTTTTTAATAGATCAAAGAATCAAAATTAAACGTGAGGAGTCACATTACATAACAGTAAAGTCGAACGTGAGGAGTCACATTACATAACAGTAACGTCGAATTACATAAACTGGGAAGGGATGAGTGAAAAAAATCCTAATTTAAGTTAGCTCGCAGTGACATGGTTTACTTTGAACATATCTCATTGTTTATAATGACGAATGTACCAGTCACATGTTTCATAACATAGTAAGGCCATAGCTGTCGTTTTCTATGATTTATGTCCGCTTGCCTGTAGGGTTTTTATGGTTTTTATGTATAAAAAAACAAGCACAGAAGTATAGCAGAAAATAATAATAAAAAATAATAATCATGATAAATATGTCTAAGGGGATTCATGAGCTTTACAGTCAAATACATTTTTAAACATAATTTTCTTCAAAATAAAAACCTCATTTCCTAATTCGTAGTTTTCTGCACCACATTTTAGAACAGACATTCTGATGTTCAAAATTTACCCAAAAATTGTATTCGTTGTTATTTGTGTTTTTCTTTCTGACAGAATTAGGATTTGAAAATTTTACTAAGAAAAACTAATTTCAAAACACACACGACCTAACGTTTTCTCCAAAATATATTCATACATATAGTCACGTTAATAAACATAACTAACATGTGACAATTATATAATAAATAAATTAAGTCAAGGTAAACTTCGCTTATAGGCACCAACCATAAAAATGCCAGACAAGAAACCAACCAATCATTAAAAAAAATAATAATAAAAAAATCAAAAACAAAAAAAAAACAACAAAAAAATCAGACAGGGATATAGTACCTTGGTGTGTCTCCATTTGCAAACAAAAATAAAAGTCTAAACAAAAATGGACATATCAATCGAATTGCGTAAGAATTGATGACAACCTCGGAACAGTTCATATTACATCCACTTATTTTGAACATTGGTGGATAGTTGTCTCATTGGCAATCATACCACATTTCCTTCAGACGGTTATTGCATTTACACAGCAACGGTAAGTATTAATTGATTTAACAATTTGTTATTTTTCATTTAAATCGATTGATACGTTACTGGGAACACACTACAACAATAATCAATCATCATCAATATGGTTACCTCATGAAACACTTTTCAACCCTTCCCAAGACCCGGGGGGCGGGGGAGGGGGAGAGGGGGGGGGGGGGTTACACAACCAATGTCTTCCTTGTAGCTGTATTATTACATTTTTCATAGTTTTAATATTCAACAAGACGATGATGATGATGATGATGATGGATTAATGTTTTTGTACAGTGGCACATATTAAAATTGAGAATGGAATTCACCATTACACCATATCAGGACATGGACATGTTAATTAAGGTGGTGAATATACAATTTAACCACGCTGTAATTGTACTAGACACATACTCTGAGCCAGATTTGTTATGTGCTAGCGTAGATCGCTAGGTAACAGTACACTAGAACGTTTGTCACTCTACACTGACACATTATTCTTACTCTGATCCGACAAGACTTTCCTCTTACTCCGAATGCTGCGTGCTATGCAGCGAAGCAGCAAATGGATTGTTTAAGTCTTTGTTCTGACCCATCCAGGGATTGTTGACTCTACAATACCACGAGACCACCTAGCTGGTTGTATATAACCAGAAGACACCAGCGTGTGAATTAGTTTAAACAATATTTATTTTCAGAAGTGCACAAATTACAATTATATACAACAGATAACAGGGATTCGCAAACAAGAAGAACTTGTATAAATCCGTCTCCCTTTGCGTGTAAATTGGATTAATACATTTTTTTCTTCAAAATTCACATAGTCAACTGATAAATTACATACATTTTAGTTACTAATGTTTAAAGAAGTAAGTGAACTATTCACTCCAAGTTCTTAAGCCTTATGATGGACTCAGTTTTGTTAGTCTTAGACGAATCTAATTTTCTTTTATGAACATTGTGGTGCGATGTTATTTTGAAATATTTGGTTGGGTTTTTGGGTAAATCTTGTTTTGATTAAGTACATTGTAATGCGTTGTTGTAATTTATTCATATATATCCGAATATACTTGAGCATGCACGAAAATAGCATAAAAAAATTAAAAATTGACATCACATTCAACAATTTTTGCAATTTTTTTAATAAAATTTAAACTAGAAATTGATTCTTAATACAAATACAGGAATTAAACATTGTAACGAACAAAAGACACACCACGTACATAAACTCATCATAGTCAAATATAGGTAAGGTATTCATTTGCTCATTTTGAAGTTTCAAAAAAAGTTGTTTGTCTTTAGAATGAACAGCGAGCCAGTACAATACACTCACTGTCTAACGAAATAATACCATACATTACCCTGGTCTTGTACAGAATAGAGTTTTTGCTATAAACACAGAAAACACTAATATGCGCGTCAAGGTACAGATGAATCCTTCGAGGACTGAGACAACATGATTTTATTCTAAGCTAAAAAGGCGTATCGTGACCTTCCTGAATATCATATGCACCAGCAAACACTAATTAGGTTGTGTCAAGGGGTCACCGACAAAGAAGCAGGCGATGCAGCATCCAACGTAAGGCCTAAAAGTATAGACGAGGATATTAATACTGGTTCCAGCACATTCATCAGGATATTTATTGTTAGTTGGGCGCATAGAAATCAGACAAGTGCAACATAATTATGTGTGAAGAAGGATAGCTAGTAGGGTACCAAGGCCAAACGTATTTTAAGCTGACTACCTCCTGGAAGTCTGAAATTGACAGATATATTTCTAGAGACAAGATAAATCTAGAAGAATGATAGTAGAAGATCACATTTTCCCGGGTCAAACAATTTAGGGAACCCGCAATTTGTTGGGAACCCATTATATTAAGTAAATTTGTTACAGTGGACCCTTGATGCAAAGGTTCTGTTTAAGGGGGAGAGTGTATATTTTTTAGATTGATCATATACATTTTCTTTGAAATGGGTATTTATGCATGTGTTTTATCATTTAAAAAAAGTGATTTTTTTAATAATGGGATATTTTGTGTCAATATATATGGCCAACGTCGATAAATAAAGGCGACAGCAGTTTACCGATGTTCAAATCTCATAAATCGATTAGGAACAACAGAAATCAAAGTAACAAACTGAGGGAATCGCATGAACTCCAAAAGGTGCGAGACCGGGTTCATCGGCAGGTCAACAGTCTCCTGCTATGCATGCATCACGCGCAATGCGACTTCAAACTCAGTCAAAATGTCATAATCTGGAACAGGAAAAATCGGTAAAATTACAGACCATACTATGCTGGTACTAGTATCTGAAGATCTAAGTGAGTGATAATGAGTCCTATTAAAAAAAAAAACTGTGGTAGTGTAACTACTATTATGGGTAGTCTCGGGTAACCAGACAGATCAGAATTCTCCTTGGTATATTATGCATACATGTAAGGATAGAACGGCTCGACCAGAAAATATGCCTTGCAACGGGTCAATTACGGTCTACTGAAAGAGATGGTGCATGGGATCTTAATGTCGCAGGGAGTACAGCATAATTAAGGCATCGAATTTAACGTTCCCATTCCGATAGGACGTGGCCGTGTATTTGTACATCCCATACAACCAAACAAAAGAAGCCAATATTAACCATAGGTTTTGCTGCCGAATAGGTTGAGAACTGGGTAGAACATATGTCTATACTACAGTCAACCCTTTAGAGTTATTTAAAAATGCGAAAAAATAAAAAAAAATTAATGCAGAAAATGAGGTTTTGCACAATGTGTCAACCGGAATGAAGAGAGGAAATTTAGGACCGCCACTAGGAAAAGAGTGCAGCATTATTTTTTATAGGAACAAATATTCTATTTTTTGTTTTTTTTTGTGACAGATTGTTTTTTTTTTGTGACAGATTGTTTTTCTTTGGACGAAAATGTGTGTTGAATTTGTGTGTGTAAGGGGGGGGGGGGGGGGGGATCGCTACAAATTCATACAAAGTATTTATCCATTTAAAATCCGGATTTTTATCATGAAACAATGGTATTTTCTAATGTGCACAATATCTTAAAATGTATCTCGTCTATTCTGATAAAAAAAAAATAATTCTGTGCATTTAAGTAGACACAATCTGATAAAAAATTAAAAAAACAACCAACAACCTGATATAGAATGACATGCATGATCATCTCTGATCATGTCATTGTTTAGATTCGCTGACATTAAAAATTAGATATACATGTTGTAATTTAATACGTCTGTGGGGTTTGCCTATAATAGATGCATGACAGATTATAACTGGGTGAACTTTAAAAAAAGAGGCGGAAGAGACCAACGGGATACTTAAGTATTCAAACCTCATAAGTCGAACGGGATAATAAAGTCGAAGAGAAAATGACAACTCATAGCAGAACGGAAAAACGAAGTCTTCTTCATATGAACAATGGAACATCGCAATGAGATGAGGAGCACTGTTGTTCCCTAAAGAACGGTGACTGTTTGTTGAAAAACACATCTACCAAAACGGAAGAAAAATGTTGTGAATTAATAATTCAAGTATCATGTAAATTTTCTAGTTCTAAAATCTTCTTTGGGTCAAGAGATTATTTACAAAGTATAAATTCTCCGTTTCTTAAAAAAAGATATTTTAATCTGCGTTTGATATATTTACGAAACACATTTGACTATTAATTTTGATTGTCTGAAATTAAATATCAAAGATTATATGTATTATGAGTATATTATAATATTATACTAGTATGTTATTTATGTATTGTATTATATGTCGCTGGTTACGGGTAGAACAGTTAAATATATATAACATCTCTGCTTTATACTATGATAGAATACACGTATATTTCATAATCTTGATACTTCTCTATTATTTTTTATTTCTGGTAGAAAATGTAGCGAGGCAGTTGCCTCACCGCCACTAGAGAAGAAGAAAGATAATTGTTGAAGTATTCTATTGGAAGGGACAATATTGTTTTTGCCATCTGAGGAATACCTCATGGTATTTTAGCAGAAAGGTTGTTATAGCAGACGACGACTGGTTACATCCTTTGAACAAGAAGGAAAAGCTGGCTACCAGTCGTCGCGAATCTCTTAAACCCAGAAGGGACAAGGTAAAATGACCATAGCCTAAACATTGATTTGCTGAAGTAATTCAGACGAAACTTTTGGTCAGGAAATTCTATATTTTCATTTGAATAAATTTTTTTCAGTTATTTGTCTTTGTATTTATCATGTCAAGTGTAAGTTTATGAATGCAAGCCAGACACTAACCAGAAATAACTGTACTAAATATATATCGGCAGAGGTCCCATGATGCTCTCTCGGACAGTGCAGTGCTAATCCTTTACCAGAGGAGAGCCTGGTCTGCTGTGATTCATTGGTTAATAACCACAGATTGAGACTAAACAATAATAGTTAAGCATTACTCTATATGGCTTATATAAACCAGCAGTAGTCATTTGAAGTTTAATAAACTTAAACGTGAATAAAAGACATGAACACGGTAATACAATAACACAAAGATCTGCTACCAATGATTATTCTAATTTTCTTAATGGATATAAAAGACAACCTGTGAGTAGGTTTTTGACTAGGAACATGCTCATAAACGCGTATCTGAGTTGAAATGTCTTTGTTAAAACTGAGTCTTCCAACATTCAATTTCGTTTAGAAGAGCCTGCATGGTCATGTCCCATGATGCTAACTGACATCCATCAATGGATATAATAACAAACAGTTGAAAAGAACGCACAGCAGTCCAGAAAACACATCTCAAAATATTAGTGCTATACAGAAAATATAAAACTCATCTACAAGTAAAATAATTGTAAATAAAAGAACAGAGTCCCAATGTCCCCCGCGTTGCACATATTTTATATTTCCAAGGGACATAACTCTAAAAAAAAGTCGATCGTCCATCATTATAGAACTTGTCCTGTCCGAGATATTGCTGATATTAACCTATAGTATAAGTTTTATAAAAATCTGACAATAATTGTACCTGTGAGAGCGCTAAAAAGACCGGACACACGGACGGACGGACGCCCGGTATTTCCATGTCCCCCACAACGCATTTGCCATCTGAGGAATACCTCATGGTATTTTAGCAGAAAGGTTGTTATAGCAGACAACGACTGGTTACATCCTTTGAACAAGAAGGAAAAGCTGGCTACCAGTCGTCGCGAATCTCTTAGTCCCAGAAGGGACAAGGTAAAATGACCATAGCCTGAACATTGATTTGCTGAAGTAATTCAGACAATTCTCATGTAAAATAATTGTAAATAAAAGAACAGAGTTCCAATGTCCCCCGCGTTGCACATATTTTATATTTCCAAGGGACATAACTCTTTAAAAAAAAAGTCGATCGTCCATCATTATAGAACTTGTCCGAGATATGGCTGATATTAACATATAGTATAAGTTTAATAAAAATCTGGCAAGAATTGTACCCGTTAAAGCGCTAACGAGGCCATTTTCCATAAATTTAATATTTCCAAGGGCATAACTCTTTAAAAAAAGTCGATCGTCCACCATTATAGAACTTGTCCGAGATATTGCTGATATTAACCTATAGTATAAGTTTTATAAAAATCTGGCAAGAATTGTACCCGTGAGAGCGCTAACGAGGCCATTTTCCATAAATTTAATATTTTCAAGGGCATAACTCTTTAAAAAAAGTCGATCGTCCACCATTATAGAACTTGTCGGAGATATTGCTGATCTTAACCTAAAGTATAAGTTTTATCAAAATCTGACAAGAATTGAACCCGTGAGAGCGCTAACAAGGCCATTTTCCATAGATTTAATATTTCCAAGGGACATAACTCTTTAAAAAAAAATCGATCGTCCACCATTATAGAACTTGTCCGAGATATTGCTGATATTAACCTATAGTATAAGTTTTATAAAAATCTGACAAGAATTGTACATGTGAGAGCGCTAAAAAGACCGGACACACGGACGGACGGACGCCCGGTATTTCCATGTCCCTCACAACGCATTACGCGGGGGATAATAACCGTATGAAACAATGCTCACATTTACGGAAAATTACAATATAGAAATAACTTATGAAAAAAAATAATTTAAAAAAATAATAATCACAACATATATTACTAGTATGTATCTATAGTCAAAGGGGTATAACTACAATAATAATTCAATTTTACAACAAAAATAAACAATATTTCCTTTACGTCAGATGAGGTAAGTGGCACAGGTTCAGGTCCAAATACCGACACACCTTTAGTCCAATACTTAATTCTAAGGGGGGAACGACTAGGTAACGTGTGATAGGGATGAGCCGCTGGAATATGTTACTATTTCCAGCTTCATGCATGGATATCTGGCAAGGTCGAGAAATTAAAATGAAATATATATGACAAGGATGCAATATCTCAAATGCATCATATAATTGTCAAAATCTGTTGGTAAAAATTGTCAGGAATATGGCAGTTGTTATCAAATAGTTCGTTTCTATGTATGTTGGCGTTTGTTTTTGTTGCACTTCAGTGTTCCTGTTATTCCTTTGTTTTCTTCTTATAGTTGATGTGTTTCCCTCGGTTTTATAGTTTGTAACCCGGATTTGTTTGCTCTCAATCGATTTATAACTTTTGAACAACGGTATACTACTGTTGCCTTTATTTATCATGAAATCGGGTAATCATGATGGCTGTAGATATATTTATTTGAAAAGAATATTTATAGGGTATGTATATTTGATATTCAAAATATACGAAAAAGATGGGGAACAAAATATCTCAGACCGTCATCCCTACTACTATACAGATGTATCGAAGCGTCCCCATTCCGAGACTTCTGTATAGTCCTGCACTCTACTAGTACGACGGAGGGCCTTGTTTGGTCTAAATTTTTACTAAATTTGAACTTTTGATTTTAAGATTTCCATTTATATAAAAATAAGGAGATGTGCATGTTTTAATCGCAAATATAAAGTACACGCAAGAAACAACTAGAAATATTACTACAGTGTTTGTCTTTATTAACAACACATTTTATGTAGATATTTATATGATTCTTTCATGAACGTTCTACATATTCCTTACTAACAAATGGGTCATTTTCAAAAAATGTCGAATTTTCAGTACACCTATGCTATTTTTTTAATTTTAAAGAAAAATGCAGTTGCAAGTGTTTAAATGAAAGTTTGTAGGATTTATGAGTCAGAACATCAATAATAAACATGATTTCGATCTATTTTGATAAGATTAAAATATATTTAAGTCCGATTTTTGCGTAATTTCTGTGCGTACAGTGTCGGGGTAACACATTTCAAATAATTTTTTCCCTATTTTCTTATTGCCTTGCTATCTGCAAAAGGAACTATATTAGGATGTTAATAATAACTCTAACGAAACATCACAGCTTCTTTATTATTCTATGTAACATTTTTTCTACAAACTAAATTCAATCGGCGTACATGGAATGCATGTCTTTCCTGTTACATCGCTACTACATGTAAATCAAACGTTATTTTTTTTCTCCCTATGAATATGGAACTATGCAGTGAGGATTTCAAAAGCACAAAGCTTCCTTAAAATTTAACACAGCACGTTTCTTGCATAACAGTGTAGAGAAAAGAAAATTCAAGACATTTTGTGAAAAAAAAAAAAAAATAGTGGGTACCCTTTTGTCATGTCTATGCTGTTATCAACATATTATATATTTATTAATTACACCAATATTATACTTGTAAAAAGTGCAATTACGTGCATCTAGGAAACCAAAATCACAGAAGAAAAACATTAACCCTTCATCATCAGCATTCGTAAATGAAGAAATTTGTCTATTCTGTTACTATGGTTACTATGGTAACAGTAACAGAATAGACACTATTTGAAAGAAACGTCTTTAAAAAGTTTATAATTACATATAGTTTTACACATAATGAAATGTTTGGTTGTTTAAACTCATTTAAAGCTTACAACGTCTTAATCTTCGCAATTTAGCATATACAAATGCAATACTGCTATCGGTAACAGGTTAGGCAAAAAGGGTTACAGGATAGAACTGAATAGTAACTAAAATTGAGAATGGAAATGGGGAATATGTCAAAGAGACAACAACCCGACAAAAGACCAGACAACATCAGAAGGCCACCAACGTCCCGTTACCAAATCAATGTAATGAAGTACTGAACATCGGATGCGTAAGTTCTGGTGGATGGTCACAGGCACTTGTTTCAGAAAAAAATCGTATCTCTATACCAGAAAGTTAGGTTAAGGTACATAGATATATTGTTTATTTCTGAGACAATTTCCTGTGTGGATGATGAATAAATGACAGGGAATTCAACCTCACCGTAATAGTTATTATATTATTGTGATATAATCATTTGTTATCAATATGATAAAGCTGGTTTGTTGTTATACATTATATTAATATTTGTATAACAGTTATATGTATAGCAGATCATCTTAATAACTCTACAGGCAAATTTTCATCCTTGTCAGTGCAAAACGTCCTAAAGATACTCTTCCGCATGCGTTAACACACATTTTCGGTATTCATAGTTTGATACTGAAAGATATATTTCTCACGACAAATCATTTTCACATCATTTAAAATATTTTCATGAGTATTCATTGAAGAAATGAATTTATAACAAGCGATGAGGAAGTTAATTTACACTCGATAATATCCGCGTATTTATACGAAATACGTTCGGTTGTCCGTCAAAAGCGCAAGAAATTTCTGCGGCAGCATAACACCGGTATGACCTCTCAAGGTCACATCCGATGTAAAAAAGGAGACAAAAGTAAACCAACATTCGAGGGAATTACTTGATGTTTAGTTTATTAGAGAGAGAAAAAAAATGCTGAACATTATTTATTTCTATTTTAGACTTGCGTTGCTGGTGGTTATTTTTATAACCTCTGAAAACCAATTTTTGGAGGTATTTTCCAGTACAGCAAGGAAAATTGACAAATAAAGGAGGGGCGAAAGATACCAGAGGGACATTCAAACTCATAAATCGAAAATAAACTGACAACGTAATGGCTAAAAAGAAAAAGACAAACAGACAAACGATAGTAAATAATCTATCATTACACAGAATGAAAATATATAGAAGTTTTTACTCTGAAAACCATCTTATTGGCTATGAAAAACAAGCTTAAAATTTTATCGAAACCTTTCCTAAATAACCCAAAATTTCTTTTGAACATGGTAACAGTAGAGACAAAATATTCCACCACCTATCAAAAAATGTTTCAATATATTCTTGTATGACATTATCAAGATTACATCTTTTTATATATTGTTCCATAAGTACTGTTTGTTTTGATTTGCTTATGAAGAGAGTTTGAATTAGTAACTTTAATTCAATTTTGCTATTTCAAAATTCGACATTTTTTAAAAATGACCCAAATATGTGTGGAAATATGCAAATTTTGAATTGTACCTTTCGACCGTCAAATTTCTGTGAATATTCCTAATTTTTCAAAAATCTTACAGTTTATATCTTTGCACGAAATTATAAACTATATTTACTACATAATACTTCAATTTTCTAGGCCAAATTTGGACCCTTTTTTGCCCATTATTCAATTTAATCGTAAGATTCAAGCATGGAGACCACATATTTTCACATTTCTTAAAATTGATATATGTTACCAATGACACAACACATTGTTTGTACTTTAAAAAGTTGGATATCACTTTACTCAATAAATTAGCGCATACAACGTTACTTTTCAAGCTCTTCTCTAGTTACAATATTTCTAGCACCGGCACCTTTTTTCATAATTAAATGCATCTCTTTTATATAGATCTGTCAACAACCCACCACTTATTACTAAGTATGTCACCCTCAATTGTCTAACCTTAAAGAGGTTGGTGATTCGAATTGATAACTAGGTTCTAAGATAAAGTAAATACGTTTTATTCACTAATTTTAAAAGCAGGACTTCATCACACGCCTCATATTTTCAATTACTCTACGGAAAATATAAAAAAAATTTGTGGTCTACCAAATTGTAGTAAGGTTGAAACCTCTATCTTAAAATATAGAATACTTTGACCTCATTTTAATGGTTCATTGGTCAATATCAAGCTTTCATATATACTAAGGTCAGATTCTCCATAGGCGGATCCAGGGGGGCCCTTTCGTGGGAAAAATTTGGTTGATTATATAGGGAATCACTGAAGCATGACTGGAGCGGCGCCCCCACTCCCCTTAGGTCAGTCAGCGGGCCCCCCTTATGAAAAGTTCTGGATCCGCCACTGTTCTCAGTTTAGGTCCAGTAATAAGACCTTATAGGTCAACTATATGTGTTATGTTTTCATGAATGTTTTACGAACTCATATCTCCAAAACCGCATTTTCATGGTTCATTAATTTAAATTGTATTTAGTGTCAATTAATTCAGTTCTACAGTATTTTGCACGTCAAATCTAGCATCTATGTTTACAATGTCCCTTTCAGTACAGTGTTGTGGAATCAAACTTGTACCGAATCTTTGATAGAGACTGTGAGCAATAAGATTCACAAATAGATGATAGTAGCTACTAACTGTAAATTACAATTTTTTCCCAGTTTAAGCGGGTTTATTTTTTGTCAGTTATCTTGCAAATTATATTAGACAAAGATAAATTGTAAACAACAAAACAAGATCTATCAGAAAATAAAGTGAAGGAAAGTGTTAATCGATTCCTTATTGGGGTTATTGTCCTAATATGTCATGACCATTTAAAGAAAGAAAGAGGTGAAAGGATCTGGATCAAACCTAGTCAAAATTCTGTGTTTTTACCAGGTGAGCGATTCAGGTTCCCGGGAGTCTATTGTTCCAAAAGTCAAGTAGGGTGTAATTATAAGGTTCTCTCAGTATAACTAATATTTTTTTCTAATAGTAATGATGAATTCGTTACTTACCAGTATTTCATTGGCATTTTTGAGCGCAAATTAATTAACTATTTTAAATACAATGTATCTTAGAATTAAATTATTTGAGTTACATGTACTTCCCCTCCCGAATAACAAACCAAAAGATGTTCTCTATAGTCCAACGAATTTTACCATTTGGTTTGCTTCTTATAGTCGATTTTTCAGACAATGTTCACAGACATTAAGTTACTATAATAACAAATAAATCATTGTAAATCTGCATTGTGCGAGTCAACGTTAAAATAGTAGCATTTGGATGAAGTTCGTAAATTGAAATGTCAAACGTACTGTTTAACATATCTAAAATTGTCAAAAGTATAAACAGGTCTCTGAATATCTTGTATTAATCTATTATCATTAAGATATTATTGTATGCATTCAATAAGAATGTTTTTAATTTTGACATTATTTTCTCAAGAACTCAAAACCAAGTCGGTCGAGTCTCGAAGTGGTGTGCTCGCCTCGAGAGTAGGGGAGAGTGGGTTCGATCTCCGGCCAAATCTAACCAAAAGACATGAAAATTCGTACTTGCTGCTTCTCAGCTAAGACAACGGCATTTAGGATTAAGAGTAAAGACTGGTCGGCTCGGATTCAGAGTAAAGACTGGTCGGCTCGGATTCAGAGTAAAGACTGGTCGGCTCGGATTCAGAGTAAAGACTGGTATGCTCGGATTCAGAATAAGGTATCCAATAAGATTGGCATATCTTCCTGATATCTTCCTTTCGAACTCGCATGTTAATAATCAGAGACAGCGACTCATGATATATTTGCAAATGGGTTTTAAACACAAAGCCATCGTATCCTCAAACTTAAAAATATCAAAATAAATGGATATTGTATGATTACCAATTAGACAACTATCTGTATAGACTAACAGACAACGATGGTAAAAATGTATGGTTTTTGACTACTGAGGAGAAGTTATCATCGCTGACTGAAGTTTTTTGTTATTGTTTTACATTTGCGTGATAAAAATCAGAGATATGTCTCTGTAAACATCAATTGACCGCCAGCTTTCTAAAAACAATTCATTAAAGAAGTAAAATTTGTTTTAATATTTATTTCATACGAGTTAAAGTGTTCTGTGTACAGAAAGAAAGAAAAACAATTACTTAAAATATACAGGAAAATATATACAACTTATATTGTTCACAAATTGCATCTCCGGATGGAGCCATGTTATGAAAATATGGAAATGTGGTATAATTGTTAATGACATGCACAACTATCTATAAAGAGATAAATATATTAGATATAAACTTCATTGTTATTGTACCACAAAAGATATAGGCTTGATGCACATTGTAGATTGTAAAAATACTGGGGACAAGATCAAAACTAGAATATAACTAATACTAGTATTCCAAAGGAACGGAGTTTTATTGTGGATCTTCATCGTTATAGTTCTACTGACGTAACCAAAATACTTAAAATATACCAGAAAATAAAGGGATATTATCTAAACCAATTTCTTTATATTGTTGCAGTGATAATATCTGATTTGAAAATGCATCCGATGAAGCAAGAATGGACCCTCCAACCCATGCCGAGAAAGCACGATCGGGAGGCGCAGAAATTTGAATATTTATAGACGGAGGTGCTAGCGATGCCAAGCCATTTTTGAGTCTTTCTCCAAAACCAGGTGTCATAGTGACTCCTCCAGCTAGAACCACGTTGTGATACAGATCTTTGCGCACATCCATGTCACATTTCATAATGCTGCTGTATACTAAATCATGTAAACCAGGTGTCTCAATACCAAGAAGCCCAGGTTCAAATAAAGGCTCCGTACATCTGAAGCGCTCTTTATCCAGTACTATTTTCTTTCCATCAGAAAAAGTATGGTTTTGCTCCAGCGATGAATCGGACAAGTTCATATCCTTTTCGAAATCCAGAGTCACATATGAATGTTTTTCTCGAACATCTTTTAATAAGGTTGATGCGTATTCTTCCTGAGGTATAAAAGAGTATCCTTTCTCACTTAAAAGTTGAGCTAGACAACTATCTAAATCTCGACCCCCTAGATTTAAGCTTACCATCGCTTCCGAAAGCAAGACCCCTTCATAAATTGGAACAATGTGACTTAGTGAGTCACCGCAACTACAAACAATGCCGGTTTTTCTACCAGAGGCCCAAAGTGAAAGAACAGCATCAACTGCAACCTGCATGCCTGCAACCTGAAACTTTTCGAATAAGATTTCATACATTTTATTTCTGTTTTTCGTATCATCTTCTGCACTTCCGGTCACCAACACCGTATGATCCTTCGGATTAACTTTCAGTGCTGATGTAAACATGAAATCCCACACCTTTTCCATATCATCCCAGTCGTCCACTATTCCTCTATGGATTGGATACTTCAATGATAAAACTCCTCCTTTGTGTAATGCGTCCTCTCCAATAAATGTGGCTTTCAGAGGCACGCCATCTTCCTTAGCAGACTACAATTGAAATAAATACAAAATTATTATTTTTTTTTTAATTATAATTATAGTAAAACCATTTCCATAGATATGTTGTTGCAGATTGCATAGTACATCTGTGAAATAGAATCAATCACAATCATAAAAGATAAAAGTATTGAGGTTTCGGCTCGGCCTGATTTAGAAATATTCATAGAGACATGATATTGTATATCTATAAAAAGAGAGAACGCGATAAACAGATGCTTGACAATTTTACTATTCTCTTAGCAAAACGTTGCCAGTCAGCGGACTTGTGGCAGGTCTCCGAACTGTTGAATGAAAAATAATTTTAGCATCAATACAAATCAAAGTACTGAAGTACTGAACATCGGATGACCGCAAGTTCTTGTGGTTGATCACAAGCACTTGTCTCAGAAAAAAAATCACATCTCTATACCTGAAAGTGAGGTTAATGTACAGAGATATATTTTTTTCTGAGACAAGTTCGTGCGTGGATGATGAATAAATAACAGGGAATTCAACCTCACCGTAATAACTATTACATTGTAGTGATACACATCAGTATACTCTGCCGGGTTTGTTGTTATATATCATGTATAGGTATAAATATTTGTATATAACAGTTACATGTATATATAATTTTCATCCATTGGTATATCATTCTATTCTACTATTCTAATAATAGTGCAGTGCAAGTGCATAGTGGAACTCTTCTGTAATAATTCGATTTTTCTAATAGATTGGATTTGAGTAGGCACTCGGCATTCATATTTTCCCGCAAAACGTTCTTGAGATATTCTTCCGCATGCGTTAACCATGACAATTTATCTGTACGTGTGCATAGATATTAATGATTGTTTACTTATATATACATATTTCTAACGACAAAACATTTTCATATTATTAATTTGTGTTCTAAAAAAAAATCTTATGAGTATTCATTGAAGAAATGAATATATAACAAGCGATAAGGAATGTTATTTTGCACTCGACAATGTCCTCGTATTTATAGAGCGGTTACCAATCAAAAACGAAAGTTACGTAAGTAGAAATTTCTGTGGCAACAATACATCGGAATGCCCTCACGGTCATCGCGATGTAAAAACTATGGAATTGGTATTTCTTGTTTATTTCAACGTCAAACAAATTTATAGCATTTTAAAAACAAGTAATTTGCTTATTTTCTCAAACCTTCTAAAATCTACATTAATTTACAACAAAGTTCGACAACTGGTGTCTAGGTGTCAGATTAAATGACCAAGTACGATAACTGCTGCAAGACAACTTATTAGCCAGTTAAAACTACGGGGTGTAACAATCTAATTAAAATATATCTCTGATTTCGTTATACTCATATGACGCAAGTTACGATTGATCGATATTTTAATTAAATTAGGATGTAATTATCTCATCTCCCGAAACAGAAATGCATCTTTTAATTTTTTTTTCTTTGAAGTCGGCCGCGTTTCAATTCCTTTTAATTAGAAATAAGAAGATGTGGTATGAGTTCCAATGAGACAACTCTCCATCCAAATCACAATGTGTAGGCCTTCAACACGGAGCCTTGGCTCACACCAAACAGCAAGCTATAAAGGGCCCCAAAATGACTAGAGTAAAACAATTCAAACAGGAAAACCAACGGTATAGTCTATATAAAAAACGAGAAACGAGAAACACTAAGAACCACATCAACAAACGACAACCACTGAAACAGGTTCCTGACTTAGGACAGGTGCAAACAAATGCAGCGGGTTTAAACGTTTTAACAGGCGCCAACCACCCTAACCTGAAATAGTAGTGTAACATTACAACATTGAAAGACACACTATAAAATATCAATTGAAATGGCTTAACTCAATCAAAAAGACATATTAACAAAAACAAGTAAACATACACTGAACGAATAAATTTGATCTATGACACAATGTCAAAAAGACAACTATAACCTTGGACAAAATGGCGTTAAATAAATAACACAGGTAAATTTGAATATAATAATTTTGTTGTTAGGAGTTACGGCTACAATACCAAGGAGATATCTTCAATAATTGAGGCCGGTGTAAACTAACAGTCACTCTGCAGACAACTATTGTGTGACATATACCACATGAAAAATACATTACACATTGATTGTGATTGAATATTTGACACAGCATAGGTTTGTGACACAAAATGAATGTGGTCAAAGAACTGAAAAAATTGAAATTGGACATTTACCTATTATGGTCCAATATCCAAAATCTAAGTACATTATTAGAATCAGCATGTCAAAGAACCCCCAGAATTCAATTTTTGATGAAATCAAACAAAAGTTTAATAGAGGACCCTTTGGACCTCAATGTGGACCAATTTGATAAAGGAACCCAAAATCCAAAATCTCTAAATACATGGTTAGATTCAGCATTTCATAGAATCCCATAAATTCAATTTTTGTTGAAATCAAACAAAGTTAAATTTTGGACCCTGATTTGGACCAACTCGAAAACTGGGCCCAAAAATTCAATATTTAAGTACAAGTTTAGATTCAGCATTTAAAAGAACCCTATATATATTTAATTTATGTTGAATTGAAACACGGTTTAATTTTATCCATATACTTATTATTTTTCTGTTCAAAGGGAAATAACTCAAACTGAATAATTAAATAGTTCTCTAAAATTAGATATGATTTAACCACTAAAAAATAGTTCTCTAAAGATAGATATGATTTAACCACTAAAAAATAGTTCTCTTAAATTAGATATGATGTTATATCTATTTTCAAATTATAATCAATAAAATTAGATATGATTTTACCACTAAAACATTGTTAGAATCAGCATATCGAAGAACCCCAAGAATTCAATTGCTGATGAAATTAAACAAATTTTATTTTAGGACCCTTTGGACCTCAATGTGGTATTATCTTATTAATAATGAAAATAAATACAGGTTTAGATTCAGCATTTCAAAAAACCCTATATATATTCAATTTATGTCGAAATCAAACACAGTTTAATTTTGGACCCCGATTTGGACCAACTTGAAAACTGGGCCCAAAATCAGAAATCTAAATATATGTTTATTAATAGACAAAATAAGCTTAGTTTTTAAAGGAGTTCACTTCATCAAAAAAATATATATATATAGCATTCAGAAATATAGTTTATACAGAAAAACAAACAAACCTACAACAAAATTCTTCAAACAATTCACCAAAGAAAAGACAAAAAAAAATCCAAAATGTCATTTATCATTAATACAATGTCTTTTAAAAATCTATAAAAACTTATCTGTAAGTGTAATCACTGTTCAAAGGGAAATAACTCAATCACATAATAAGTACCACTTTTGGCTATCAGAAAAGGTCATAACTCAACAACGAGAAAAGCTAAAATCGTGAAAATTGAACTTGATCTTCATTTAGTCACAGGAAACAACATATCTAAATTTGAAAAATTTCGTCAAAGCGTTTTCATGTAAATGAACGGACACTGTTTGGCAGCCGCCCTCCCGCCCTCCCGCCGTACATCCCCAAATCAATAACCGATTTTTCCTTCGAAAATCCGGTTAAAAATTCGCAATTTCTTGTTTTTGTTTCTCCTGCGACCGAACTAGCAACATAACTAGTATAACATTTAACGTTATTACCATTTTCACATTTCAAGTTGAGCAAAATGTGCTGGATGATGTTCAATAGTGAGACCACATTACCCAGTCATTATCACGTGACCTTGAATTCATTTTCACATCCCAGTTTGTTACTCTCGATTATACCCAGTTGTCAGTTATGTTCATGGTTAGATATATATATCCCGCGGTGACTATAGTACATGTCTACATGATTGATACATTAAAAATATTTGGAATGTGGATTGATTATAAGAATTACAGTATGAATATATATATATATATATATAGCGAAAGCAAATTTACAGATCTGGTGACAGATATATTACATGTACGTACATACATAACGGAAATATGTTGATTTGATGTGAATAAGAACTAGATTATAATGTGCTAGTTTTCAAGGTAACAGTCCTAAAAATACCCGCCACATACCCTAACACATCTTCCGAGCCAACCTGTCATTGCTCTTACTCTTAAATGTCGCATGCTTTGAGGAGAAGTAGTAAATACCATACAATTTTCCTGTTAAATATTTGAACCGGCCGGGGGTCGAACTTTTAACATCTCACAAGACAAAGAAAGCTACCATGAAACCAACGAAGCGATTCCTTACTCATAGAGAACACAACAGTATATACTTGTTAGCACCATACCCCAAAGTAACTTAACTATACCATTGTACGTAGTAGGCCGAAGCATGATAAAAATTTATATTTGTATTGCCTAGTTATTGGTCCGAGACTTACTGTTTAGGCATGCGTTAAAAATCATGACATCCCGAATTCTCTAATCGGGTTGCAAAACCGAGGTGTTTTTTTCACTCTGCGGGATGTATTAATACGAAATGGGGCCGTTAGAGAGACGCGCTCTCTGCATTTTAAAGAACTTCACCATTCTTCTTCAAGTTTATTGGTTTCCTATTTATATTTTTCTGTCGTTTTGTTTGTGCAGGCAAATGCACTGTTGCGTCAATAGAAACTACGGTACTGTAGATTAGCGGTAGAGAATAATTTCTATGTCACGTATCCGGGACTTCAAAAAAAAAAACTGAACATTTGATTTGTCGCCCGTAGACCGTTAAAGTATTAATCCTTGCATGTTTATTGACAGATTTTTTTATTGTCATATCGCAAACAAGGTACGATATATATTATAAAAATACACAAAAAGAATTCTTCACTCTGTTTGGACGTACATATTTTTATCTACATTACTGATAATGATACTGAAATGGCCATCCAGTTTTTTTTATTAATTTTGGCAAATGTTTAGAGAAAATAAACAGGGAGAATTTCACACAAATATCAAAATTCTATCTACGGTAAATCTATGTATTGTTTTTCAGATAATATAAATTATAAGTTTTAGTTTCAAAATTCCTGCAATGCAACATTTTACAAAACGTAGAATGCCAATATTGTTTAAACAATAATTGTTTTAACAACAAGGCTGAATAATCTAGCATTTTGATTTTATGGATATTTGTAAAAATGTTGAAGAATTTAGAATATATATTTTATTCGATAATATTCAACCATCATCCTTCCGACAGTGTCTCTGTGCATCAAACATATGATTGTACATAAATAGTGGCCACAATCTATGCAAACAGAATACTATCGACGTAAGAATACCCACTTCGGCATGATAACGTGTATACTCAGTATGTAAAATGGAAGGTATATATCAAGGTCAACTATGAAAGCTACATTGTTATTGTTTACGTGTTATAACATGATATATTAACATGTAACTTTTCATTCTATCATGTCAATTAATGTAATTATATATATAGGCAATGGGTCTTAACCATTTATTGTTAATGAGTTAGTGCCAATAAAAATATTTGTATAAAATGACATCATATTAAATCCCTTTACATACCTCATCTTTTGAATAACCCAAGATAGTTGGGATGATAGCCGCCGGCTTGTCTTCTCCTGCAAATCCACCTTTGCATGATCCGGAACCATTGTCCATCACAATAACAGAACCCGACATTTTTGGGGGATCAAACTGTATCATAAATGAGATAATATTTCAAATATTTTAGACATCTATATCAAATATCTGAAAATCGTTTAAGCATGTCAGGAAGTTTGAGGCGCTCAAGGGATTAGATGTGTCTGCTAAATACATAAAAATTGCACAGTGTGTAAATATTTAAGAAATATTGCAACAAGTATTTCTCGTAGCGTGTTGTTATCTTTTTACACTAAAGGTTTAATATTGCTATACTATTCTAAATGAGAAGGTCGATGAATGTTCTTCCTTCTTTCTCTTACTCGTTCACAATACTCTTAATATGTTATCACATGTACCAGCTCCTATTTAAATTCGTTGTCTCGTCTCTATCTCTTTGCGACACGCCCCTATATTAAAATGGTCCAGAAAGATCGCAGTCATTGTAAGTTTACATGGGATTCACTGAAAAGGACTGCGTTATCATTATGTTTATTTGTCCATAGCGGTAAGAGACAAGCATCAACAGACGGCCCGCCGACCACGGTAGAAAATTAGATAAGAAGGCTCTAGCTTTAAAATCGAATTTTAAAAAAGGTTTCATGAAATTAAAAGATATTTTAAGGCCAAAACAAGGAATGTGAATATTTTGATAGAGCAGTGTCTCATCCTACCCATTGTTAACCAACAGAGACAATTGCAATTATTGACATGTTTTAAGCCTTTTTTATTTCACAAAGTACTGATATGGAAAGGGAAGAGGCATGACAATTATGGGGTATAAGTTCGTAAGACAATTAAAACACATTTTACAGACCTATTTCACAGTAACAAGGACACAGAAAAGAAAACAGTTTATTCTATGCGCTGGGTTTCGAACACGATAAGACAATTTTATTCTTTAATAAACCTTGTGAACAAATTTATACAAATAGTTTTATAATACATATTACAACATAATCATAAAAAAAAAACAAAGTGCAGCAGACAAAACGAAGAGGTATAAACATTTTATATCAGAGTAGGAACAGAATGGTATCGAATAGTTTTCATACCACAGGGATTACAATTATAGTAAAAGTAAAGTATAGACTTGTTGTCTTACAGCTGTCCTAAATAAGATGAAAGACACAATGTTACAAGTGATCAAACGTACCTGACTCATGTACATGTATTTTCAACTTTCTCTAAGAATGATTTAAGCAGCTATTTAGACAATTAAAACAGTTTTATGTAAGTTATCACTACTGATATTTTACCACTTTTGCCTGTATTGAGATATTGTGTATGGTTTGACATTTCTATGCTAATAACCATATAAGGTGTTGACGAGTTCAAACTACGTATTTGTTTTTTATGTATACATATATAGTATAACAAGCAAATACCTCTATAAGGTATGAACAAAAGTATTGTGTTTTTTTCGTCATAGTTAAATATATGTTGCATAAAATTGTCTTTTCAGTTTCCTTGTGGGTATATATAGAACATAAACAACCCGGTGTTCATTTCATCTCAAGCTGATTAAGCAGAAAACCTTTAAACAAAAATTTCGTCACGGAAATATGTTTTTCACTGAACTGTCATATTTTGCTACGGATATCAGTCGGAAAAACAATATATAGACTCATCTCATTTACATCTTTCAGTACTCCACTTCATACATCCTGTTTAATTTGATACCTTATTTGGTAATAAATGTTATGAGATTGTTACATACAATAAGTAGTTGGTCCTTGCCGGTCTTGACTTCACTTTAACGTCTACAGTCTGTCTGTGAGTATCGAACTTTAGCCTAGCTACGATGTGTGACGAGGATCTAGCAGCTTTGGTCGTTGACAATGGGTCAGGAATGTGTAAAGCTGGTTTTGCGGGAGATGATGCCCCACGGGCAGTTTTCCCGTCTATTGTGGGACGTCCAAGACATCAGGTAAGATATATATCAATATTTTCCATTTTTTCTACAAATAAATTATTGTGATTATAGAATGATTGATGTTTGATTAAGGCGTTGCAAATATTTCAAACTGCAAGACGAGAACTAAATATACAATACATCAATGTGTGCTTAAAAGTTGTTGATCTAAGATGATAGTTGGGAAATTTTGATACCCATTTGTAACAAGGACATAAGTGTCGATCAACAGATCCCCGAAATGTTGTTTCTTTGATGCTTTAATGTATTCAAAATCTCCGAATTATTGTGTAAATAGTGACTTCTAGCACGATGGCTATTGTTGTATTTTGCACATATGTCATATCAAATGAGCAGAAGAGAGACTTTATTCGAAACAATAATTTCCGCCTAGAACTTTGCAATGTTTAATGTTTTAATCTAAAATATATAAAATTAAAGTGAAATCAAACAAATAATTATGTTTACAACACTAGCTCATAATACAAATGGTGAGATGTAGATTTTATTTGTGCACAATAAAAAAACAAACATTTAGAACTCAACAACTGTAAAACAACCTACAATTCAACGAATTGATTTTTTTCTTTGTCTAATTATGGTTAACACAGTAAAAAATGTGAAACATTTTAAAAGGAAGAAAATGTTTAAACTGTTAAGTTAACAAGGAAGTTACTGGTGAAGTTAAACGGAAAACATGTTATTAAATACTCCTATAAAATGTATCACGCACTTCAACTCTCTTAACAATTTTGAGCCAATGGGTCAAATATACAACATTTTGAAGGGTATACCATGTTACACCGAAAAATCTAATGACGCTGTAAATTATCTCTAATTAAAAAAAGTTGATATTTTTATTTAAAAAAAAAGTAGCATGTAGTCTTTACTATCTCTGTCTGTATAATGCTCGGTAGATAGTTGCTTCATTGACAAAATTTCATATTGTCATATGTTATTTCCGTATTAAGAAACATAGCGAAGAGAATTCGAAAGTTAAATTTTCCCTATGTTTAAAAATTGAATTTACTTTCAGGGTGTCATGGTTGGTATGGGACAAAAGGACAGCTATGTTGGTGACGAAGCACAGAGTAAAAGAGGAATTTTAACACTTAAATATCCAATTGAGCACGGAATTGTTACAAACTGGGATGACATGGAGAAAATCTGGCATCACACATTCTACAACGAACTCAGGGTTGCCCCAGAAGAACACCCCGTACTTTTGACGGAAGCACCTCTTAATCCAAAAGCTAACAGAGAAAAGATGACACAGATCATGTTCGAAACCTTCAATTCTCCGGCAATGTACGTAGCTATACAAGCAGTACTCTCCCTTTACGCTTCCGGTAGAACAACAGGAATCGTCATGGACTCTGGTGATGGAGTCAGTCATACAGTACCCATTTATGAAGGGTATGCTTTGCCGCATGCTATCTTGAGATTGGATCTTGCTGGAAGAGATTTGACAGACTACCTGATGAAAATTCTTACAGAAAGAGGATATTCCTTCACAACAACTGCAGAACGTGAAATTGTCCGTGATATAAAAGAAAAACTTTGCTACGTTGCTCTAGATTTTGAACAAGAAATGCAGACCGCAGCTACATCATCATCACTTGAAAAAAGCTATGAATTACCAGATGGGCAGGTCATCACTATTGGAAATGAGCGTTTCCGATGCCCAGAAGCCATGTTCCAGCCATCTTTCCTGGGTATGGAATCAGCTGGGTTACACGAAACCACATACAACAGTATAATGAAATGTGACGTAGATATCCGTAAAGATTTATACGCTAATACCGTACTATCTGGAGGTTCCACCATGTTTGCTGGAATAGCTGACAGAATGCAGAAGGAAATCACTGCTTTATGTCCACCGACCATGAAAGTCAAAATAATTGCTCCACCAGAGAGGAAATACTCCGTCTGGATTGGTGGGTCTATTTTAGCCTCACTTTCTACTTTCCAACAAATGTGGATAAGTAAGCAAGAATATGATGAATCCGGCCCAAGCATTGTACATCGCAAATGTTTCTAAACATAGATCTCTTAATAAGACAATCATTATTTTTTTTTATCAAACATAGTATGAACTCGTTTAAAACCAAGAACCATTCTTTATGTTGCTATTTACTACTAAAAATAAATTGTAAACACAATCTATTTGCTGGTGTTTTGAATACTGAAAAAAAATGTCTGTATATGCAGTTTGTTCATTGATAAACGATATTAGATTAATGTGTTTATAAAACAAAGTCTGCATGTCAACTATATATGTTTTAGTTCATTTATATGTTTTGGAGTTTAGTGTGACGTCCATTTTCATTGAACTAGTACATATTTTTGTTTACCGAACGGTGACCTATAGTTCCTTGCATCTACGTCATCTTGTCTTTGATGGACAGTTGTGTCATTGGGAATCATACACCATCTTATTATTTTTATATTGGCGGTAATGTACATCATAACCAGAAAATGTGTTGCAATTATTTGTATACCTATAAGGTCAAATTCACAAGATTAGTTTTCTTGGTGTAGGTTATTGAAGTTTTATAATGCCGTATTTGACCTGTGCCCTAATATATATAGGCATATCATAAATATGATTATGCAGATCATAAATACCCCCATACAGACCAATATTAGTGTTCAATTTACAAGTACTGCTATGAATAAAAGGATTTGTGTGTCATACCTCAATGAGACAGCAACCCCAAAACACATACGGAACTCTGAGGGACTATGTTGCATAGCCAAACAGACGCCCAATCATTAGCAAGGGTTGTAATACCTGACGGGTTGAAATCCAGGGATTATTCATATTTCGATACTGCGGCCATCTCTTGGAATTTAATACGATAGTCCGACTGGAAATCAATTAAAGTAATCTTTATTTAAAGTCGGGTTTTTCAGATAAACAATTTTCGATCGAACATGAGCTCTTTAACCGACCGACATTTCATAATATAACAGGTTAAATCATTGAAATATAGACAGATGCATATACAGCACACACAATAGATCTTATCGCTATTTTGGGACCTGGGACACTTGACCTGAGAATTTGCAACACTTGAACTATTGACGTCATACAACAGTCACTTTTCCTTTGTGGCGTCAGACATTTTCTTTTGTGACGTCAAAATTTTACGGGAACTTCTGTTATGTCCAGTAATGGCGAACAAATAGCGATAAGGTGTATCAATACAAATAGCACATATCAGTAAATACAAAGCACATGCAGCATATAAAGCATAGCAACATATGCACATAAAAAAGCACGTCATAGATACCAGTATTAAAATTGTGTACGCCAGACGCGCGTTTCGTTTTCAAATCACTCATCCCAAGTAATTTTTAAAACACGCACATATGCATTGAAAGCATTAGATATCAATACATACAAAGCACATGGAATATAAAAAGCAGATAAGTATATTCACATAAAACACATAAAACACATACAAGCAATACAGACAATTATTATAAGCTTTTACATGTCGGACTTGAATTGATAGATAAAAACAAAATACTGACAGGTGTCGAAATATCAATTTAATATGTATACATATATACATATATATAAAGGATAGCCCAAAAACGAAATTTTGACAGTTTTTTCTACATTTCGAGTATCATTATACAAGAATATTAAACAAAATCACGTATATAAAAGAAGAACCTTCGTAAAAAAAAAAAAAAAAAAAAAAAAAAACAAATTGGAAGTAAAGCTATATATATATATATATATATATATATATATAGTAATTCGGATACAAATTATGTACATTTAGTCTAATCAACTGTGTCTCAAATGTCTTCAAGAGCAACATCTAACGCTGAATACTAGTAACATTTGTATTCTAAAATATGTGAAATTGTTGAAAAATGTGCTTTGTATATCGTATAGAATGTTAAGTATTTAGTTTTGAGAAGGAATCGAGACATTTTGTAAAAGAGAGGCGAAATATACCAAAGGGACTTTCAAACTCATAAGTCGAAAATAAACTGACAACGACATGGCTAAAAAAGAAAAAGGCCAACAGACAAACAATAGTACAAAAAACACAACATAGAAAACCAAAGACTGAGCAACACGAACCCCACCAAAAATAGATCCTGCTCCACATGTGTCACCCGTCGTGTTGCTCATGTTAGTACAAACCCGGTAATAAGTCTAATTCGGTAGGTCACATTCGTGAAAAGGGCACGGGATTGTAGTTACGACATTAGGAACATATCCGCTATCATCTGTGAAACGGATATTCCGTAACGGTCAACTAACTCGTGATGGCGTCCGTAAAATTTACGATGGGATAATTTCAACTTCACCACTTGGAATTCTTGGCTCAATAGCTTCCCTGTGAGCAGCAACCCTCTATCAAGGAAATCATGATAGGAAATACAAGCCCTGGAGTGTCGTATCAACTTGGAGATATACACTCCGTATGCAGGCGCTGCTGGAATTTTACTACATAAAAATGGAAAGTTCACAATTGGGAAGCTGAAATCATCTCTTTTGTCAAAAGTTTTGTTTTCAACCGACCCTCATCGTCAATTTATAGATGTAAGTCAATATGTGAGTATATTGCATATAAAATCCTGTAAATCATGATATTGTCCTAGACAATTAACAATGAAGAGGGTTGATATTAAAACCTTAATCACTGGTTATACGTCCGGTTTTTTGTTTTGTTTTGATTTTGGATATATATATATATATAATCCCGGCGAGGGAAGAACAAAAATTTGCTTCCGCAAATTTGCAGATTTAACATTGTTGTGCTGATATTTAGAGTAGTTATGTATATATATATATATATATATATATATATATATAATCTTTGCACCTTTGTTTGCGGTCTACCATCTTTGCCGCAAGTTTATTGTTTTCTGTTTGGTATAAAATTTATAGTTAAGATCCATTTATTACACCTTGTGATCCGTTTATTTGGCAATCGCCAATGGCAGTCAGCAGGGTTTAAGAACATTTGTTGTTCGACCTGTTAGTCAAATGCGTTTTGTTAAAATATACTTTTTCACTTTTTTGATCTTTTGGAAAATGTTGTTTGTGCTGTATTTAGACCCCTCTAACAAGAAATTTGTTTTGCATGCACATGTATAAAAATTGCGGTTTTTATCAAACCGCAATTTTTATACATGTGCATGCAAAACAAATTTCTTGTTAGAGGGGTCTAAATACAGCACAAACAACTTTTTCCAAAAAGACCAAAAAAGTGAAAAAGTATATTTTAACAAAACGCATTTGAATTGCAGGTCGAACAACGGATGTTCTTAAACCCTGCTGTCTGCCATTGGCGATTGCCAAATAAACGGATCACCAGATGTAACAAAATGGATCTTAACTATTAATTTAATACCAAACAGAAAACAATAAACTAGCGGAAAAGATGGTATACCGCAAATAAAAGGTGCAAAAATTAGTACACCATATCCGGATTTCGACAATTAATGTCTCTTCAGTGATGTTAGGAATCGAAACGGTATTTGGAAGGCCATTTACCTCAATTTAGGATAGACCCTTGAATTTTGAAGAGTCGAAATAGGATGAACGGATCATATAAACCCGAAGGCAAATATAATACAAGCCCAAACGAAAAAAATATAAACAAGTCTAAATTGAAAACAAGGAATATATATATATATATATATATATATATATATATATATATATATATATATGTACAGTATGCGTACTACATAACATAGGCGACATGATTTCCTATCAGCAGGTTAAAAATAGTTAGAGAGTGCTTTAACTATTTGCTAGCATTCTTTGATGGGTATAGTTTATTATCGACGTGCTTACACTTGTATACAAATATTGCCAAAAAAAAAACCAACAACCAACCATAGGTCAAAGGACTAAGATTTGAATATTTACTGGTCAAAGCACAGTCTTCAGGAATAAACAAAACCCATACCGTATATTAGGCTATAGCCAGCTATAAAAGGCCCTGACTTGACAAATGTGAAACATTTCAAAAGAGAAAACAAACGGCCTGGTAAATGTTAGAAACAATAAACGAAAAACAAATATGGAAGACAACACCCAACGACAACTACTGGATGACAGGTTCTTGGCTTTGGACATACACATTTATCAGTTTATCAGATTGGTGCTTGGCACTAAAAACAACAACAAAAGGATTCAAGACGCAAAATACCGATGTAAGAGTATTCACAGTTAATGAAAGCCAGCTTGAAGCTTTATTTATAAATAAACTATGTTAGTCTACAAGACTTAAATGTCAAAAAGTACAAATACGACGGATTAAGTGTAAACACGTCATAAACAGTCTTAGAAAACCATTTCAATGTGCAATGCAAAAAGTATCTACATGGGATGTAGGACCATAACAATATATACAGCCAAATTTCCAAACCAATGATGTAATTCAATGAAATTTTAAAGCTATTTATGGTAACTAAACCCCTAGATTCAGTTTTACACAGATTTTATTCATTGAATTTTAAAACATCATAATAAAAAAAAAAGATTCGCTTGTGCTCTATGATGGTTAAGGGCATCATAAATATTACCAGGCAAAACTTGTAATAAAATTTTCTTTAACATATGCTATAAATCAGATTACAGGACCAAATAAACTTTTTTGGTTTCTTACGGTAATCATTATCTATATTGAATTCAAACACTGATTATTGTAATTTTTTAAAAGTTAAATTATTAAACATTTTCTGTCGGTCAAACTCCAAACATTTATTGGTCAAATAGAGTTATCTCTCTTTGTACAATGCGAGTACACATCCAATCAAATTACCAATCATAAACTCAAAGTGGGCATAACAGAGAAGAATCATAATATAAGGTTATAACACTAATATTTAAGACTATTGTCCAGCGGAGTATATCATATTGCACGAGCTTGCAATTCTCCAATATTAGTTTACTAACCAATTTATAATTTATAGCCAAATATTTCAGTAACATTGATGATACTTCTTCCAATTCCTGTAGATCTGATGCCTGCAACTTAAGAACGCAATGTTCGTTTCCGCAATGTTTATATTCTCTCGTTTGATTGCTTGATTGCGCGTAAATATCTTTTTACTTGGAACCTCTCTAGTGCGTACTAAACTATGAGGAGAAGGTATAAAAAGTTTCAATATCGGTCAGGTTG